TATGAAAACTGGTATTAGAAGGTAATTATATAAAAAAGGTTAGAGAGTGCATCAATTATGAGACTACAGAGTATATTGGAACCTAAAACACATCACTGGAAAATAATGCCACAGTCGGTTCAATTAGGAATCGTCCAAATTATTGACTTACTAATTCCTATGATCTGGAGAACAGAGTGAATAAGTATAAGTTAGGAGATGATTAATAAAGAGGTTAGTTTCAATGTCATCTATTTCTACATGCAAACTTTAATTAACACAGCTCTAGGAGGTGTTAGAAACAAACTCAATTCTGATTCAAACTTAAAACCAAGGTGTCGATATGCGAAATCGCGTTAGGCATACAGCTACGCATTACTTATATAGTATTTAAGTCTTGTGGAAAAATATACCAAAAACTGTGAGAATCGACGTGATATCATCTGTATTTAAAATTGTAATGGATACGCTTATAAACAAATAGGAGAATATAGCTTCTGGGACGTTCAATTCTACTTCTAAAGTATAGTGTGAATAGGTAGGTGATACATTCACAATATTATTATAAACAGGGATATGTACACGTTTTTTAAATACAAATTCAGTGGTAGGTGCAGTTCAATTTACTTACGAGTTGAAAAGTCACGAAAATGAACTTTCGATGTCAAATCATATGATTAAAAAGAAAAAAAACAGGCAACTAAACGCTGATGTTCACAGAAAATCCTCACGTTCAAGCGGATATTCAGATTTTAACTCACTCCGATCCATGTCCATTAAAATGGGATTAGTGAAGTGTTAAATTTAAAAGGCGAAACAGCTGATTGATATGAAAGAAAGTTCATGGTAGAAATTAAGAAATATGAAGAATCTGTGACACTTACTATAATTTACTTACCCGGAAATATATGAGAGATAATAAGTATACGAATAAAATGACTAATAGTAGTGACATAATTACTTAGTGTTTACGTGAAGATGGTGACACCCAAAACTTTGCTCAGGATTTTTAGCAAGGCAGGGACATAAGTAGTAATTAACCTACAATCCCTCTTGAAAATAAACTGTGTGACCTGGAGGATATTGTGCAGCCCACTAAAAGAAAGGCAGTTTAGTAATGGCCCGGAGTCACTTAGATTAGCGGAGCATGGAGACTTAGCGTCGGTGGCACAGTAGTTAGGACTCTCGCCGACCATGCACATGGTCCTGGGTTCGAGCCCACGCCGACGCACACCTGATATCTACGGTCGGCCTGCGAATTTCGGGCTACCGATATCCATGCTGAAAATTCCATACTTGTACCAAAAATACGGTGTGGAATCAAGCTGTAATCAAAATAACAAAAAAACCTGGAGAAAGGTACGGTACAATAATACTTACGATCACAAGCAACTACAAGATGCGGTTGTCAGACTAGTAATTCTAAAATACAGTATAACAGCGTAAAGTAAGAGACTGTAGCCAGTTTCAGGGTCATGATGGGTTCCTGCGCCCACTGCTTAGATGTTTTCGTTAATTCGTTTGCCACTGAAATTTAAAGGCTTTTTTAGGCGTTTTGCATACTTTGAAGTGTTAAGATCGATTTTTGTCACTGGTTGCTACTATGAGGCTTATTTTTAGTCTGAAGTTCCCAGTTATTTAGTTGGTAGTTAACGATTATGGTAAACTTGCAATTATTCAGCCAATTCACGTATACTATGCTACCATAGTCACATTCTTTAGCAAGTAAACTCAGTCACTGTTCTGCAATTGTTTGATTATTTGCACAAACTGGAACTGTGTGCTGGTTTATCAGCATGACTGGCATTAATTCAGCACCGTGCTCTTCTTCTACGCGTTTTCAGAAGTAGATTATCAGCCTTATTGCAGGAGTCCTAGCCCAGGTTCAGCATTCAGTGCTCCTTTTTAGGAAGTACGATGGTTATTTCAGTTTAATATTGGGTTCACTTTAAGTACATAAAATGCTCATTTACCGTAAAAAGGTATTATTGACACGTCGGTTAGATTTTGCTGAGAATTGTTGTAAATATGGTCTTATAACCGTACGTTGCTACGGTATAAGTGATAAATAGTGTTAGTCACCGTTACTTAAGATATGCTATGAACTAGAAATCTTCGCCTGATAAAACGTAGCAAATAAGGCACAGATTGGTGTAATTTCTAACTGACTTCGAAAGCGTTCTCATCACGAAACGATCAACCAAAGTATACTTTAAACTGTCACTTGTAGGCATTTAAAGGGAAAGGAAGTGTAACAGCAGTTTAGACATACATGTTCATATTATGAAAACATACGGAAACAGTGAGGTAATACATTCGCCACTCAGCATCGACAACAAAATTCGGATTTTCAATACAAACGTCAAGTCAGTTCTTCTATGCAAATCAGAAACTTGGCGGGTCATAAAGAATATTTCCAGCGGCCTGTTGCAGACCTTTATCAACCAACAACTGTCTTCGCTCTATACTGAAGATCAGATGGCCTGGCCCGAAAGAATCACCATCAAGAAACTATGGCTGGGAACGAACAAAACAAGAACCAATCGCCAACCAACAAATATGCAGGAGAAAGTGAAGAGATGGATTAGACACTCGCTGAGAGGGCCACTGGGTGACATCGCGCGTCAGGCCATTGCTCGAGTGGAACCCGAAAGGGAAGCGGCGAGTGGGACGTCAGTGCAAGGGTGACATGGAGGAGATCGTGTGAAGAGGAGTTGAAACAGTATAGACTAACATGGATGCAGGTGAGAAGTACAGCAGAAGACGTGCAGTCGAAGCCCTATGTTCCACTAGGAACCCGAGGAAACAATAATAAATAATAATAAAAAGGTAATACAAACATTTTCACAAAAGTAAGCGATTAACAGAGGGACGCTGTAATCTTAAAGTTGTTTGCGGTCCATTTACTAGCAAACTGTCCAACCTTTTCAGCTGCCTATGAGCATTCTCTACCCTGTTGTCTTGTAAACTACCGATTTCTATTCTACTTATTTTGATACGACTTATGTTTATTTATCCTAGCTCGCATGTTTTTAATATCATTATACAGGAGAACTTTGCCGAATTTCTCATGCGTTAAATCCAGAATTTCATGGACATCAGTGTTCCTTTCAGTAAACGTTTGCACAACTGTCATTTCCTCTGATGATAGCCAACGTCTAGATACATCAGTGGACATGAAACTTGCTGTGCATGGATGGTTATGCACAGTTTGTTAGTTTGCTATCTTGTATCCTTCGGACGTATTCCGTACCGTAATTATTGACTGACATGAACTACTTCTGAAGTTTAAAACTTTTAGAATTTACACGCACAGCCAACTTACCCTTTGTTCCTAAAGCCAGCACCTCGAGGAGCACGTTTACCTCCGAAAGTGCATTCATACCTCACAAACTCATATTTCATAGGGCCGGATGGTTTTTTTTACTTGGTGCAACCCTGTAGGATGTATTGGATTCCTTTCAAAGAAATAATGAACAAATTAGTTATTATCATCATAAATGTACCAGTCTGTACGTTATCATCCGTTATATCTCATTAGCGCATATTCACACTCGGTCACACTATAATATTGGGAACGACATCATAACATATAGCGACGAGTTCATAACACTTCCCTAACTGTTACATTTAAAATTCAGATTCAAAAAAAAACTGTACCAAAGAAATGGACCAACCAAATGCAATCAATTACATTCTAATTAGATACACTTGAGTTGATTCCTGTGAGTTTTGAATTATCAAACTAAACACTGAATCAACCAGTTACATCTCTGTTTGCAGTCTTTAATGCTTTTCTTATCAACTATGAGATTGCTGTCGTTGAAGACTTTATGCCAACTGATATTTTAACCTTTTGAACTTCAATCCGTCCGTGTTACTAGAAACTTCATTAAGACTACAGGAATTTGACTCAGTAGATTTCAAGAATTGCACAAAACAAGAGAAGAAAGAATATTGGAAATACAAAGAAAGTATTTGATGCATTTGGCGTTAATGTCTATTTCAAATTCATTAAACTCTCTAAAGATCTAGTTATATTGGAAGATATAATTCTTGAAAGGACCTAAAACGATGGTGTCTATAGGACGAAATGTACGGAGTGTGAGTCTTGTTATGCAGGGGATTTCAATATTCAAGTGCAATTCACGGTTAATGAACACAAACTATGAACAAATCGTCCATATAGGAATGTAGCAGAACTAAAAATTCTTGAATAAAGATCATCTAGAAATACACGGAATAGAAAGTGATCACAAGATTGATTCTGACAATGTTCAAATATTTGTAGGAACGAGTTACACTCACGAGAAGAAAGGTTAACCTGTGAACCCTGTATATTTTACCTACATTGAATGCAATAAATACGAGGGAAGGGATACACTGATTACATATAAAGCAGACTAATTCAACAAACTAAAAAAGGCCGCTGATTCGGGTCCTATTGGCTGAATAATCTAAGGGCTTGTCTTGTGGCCGGAAGGTCCATCGTTCGAAACCCAGTGGGTGTATACCGCCGATGCGTCCTAAAACAGGACAAAAAAACTGCCCAGTACTTCCTGGTTTTCAATGATTCTCTAACTGATATCAAACCGTGGTAAAACTTGAAAAAACAAAACACAAGTGTTTCTTAAGTTTTTAGTCTTGGAGCAATGACTAGAATTGCCATCCATGAATTAACATGTTTCCCCGTAGAATAAGCAACATGCAAAACACACACCTAGTTTAACTACTTAACATTGATAGGTTGGCAATAATAATACAAATATATGATAACTAGTCACATTTAATCCGTATCTGTAAATGTTCAGCCACAGATGACTTTAACACAAGTTCATTTGATTTTATATACTATATGATCACATATTTTCATGTTTGATACAATGCAGTTGTGGAAGTTGTGCTACACAGAGAAACGTCCACAAAAGTCCCATTCTTATTTTCTAAACACACTGAAATCATCTTAAGTAATTTTTATAACGATTCAATCAGACTCAACGCTCAAATTATCGCAGGAAATTGTTCATATTTACTAACAATAACTTTTATTTCAGTTAAGAGAAAGTTATTATTGACAAAAAGTGAAAGGAAATTCACAATAAAAACAAAGAAATAACTGGTTACATTATTATTTAAATTAAAAATAGTTCAAAAATCAATCCGGTTCATGGGGTAAAGCAGTTCTCTTGGGGAAAAATGCATGATCCAACGGGAAGTGCAGTAGATTTGTTATCCTTGATGTATACAATGTAGCATATTGTCCAAGACGTTGTGAAAAGTACGAAGGATTATGAAATGAACGAAAAATACTTCCAAATTGAGGATCAAATACAAATTTACTTGAACGTCTTAGAGCATTTCGTTCATCAAACCATTGTTCAAGTAATGACTTAGCTTCGGGTGAAGTGACATGCTGATAAACATTTTTTTGGGAAAAAATAAACAATATGAAATAATTTTATAGAAGTATTTTCAAGATTCTTTGAATTAGAGATCGGTCTAAACATATGTATTATCTACAACAATACGTTTGACAATGATAACCATAACTATTATCGATTACAAGATTTCGTCATGAGCTGACATCGGTTAGAGAACCGTTAGGAAATCTGGGAGTGCTGGACAGCTGTTTCATCCTAGTTTGAGATTCTTTATTAGTACGTAGTCACCGCCAGGGTCCGAGCCTAGGACCTTCTAGTTACAAGGCTAGCGAGCTCGTAGACCATTAAGCCACTGGGACCCCATACAATAGCCAACCCATGAATCCCAACTTCTGCCAATTTACTACATAGCGCAACCATTTGCCAATGTTTTCTGCGGGTATTTATCCTCACACCTGACCTGCTGTACCCTGATGGTACCAGGTTCTCCAATGGTGCTCTAATCGATGTCGGCTCATGATGAAATTCTGTAACCAATCAATCAAGTCCTCACAAACCAATACTTGCATACTTATTATTGTTGATCACAATATTAGATTTAATTAAAGAGAGGTGAAGAAAAGAATTCTGACCATATAAGTCACATGAAAATGAAATTAAGATGCATAGAATTATACAATTCAGATTTAACAGAAAATACATTGCCTGAAGGCCTCAGTATTATAAGCACTTGTAGTATTGTTTTATTGCATTATTCAACGAAACAAAAAACACTGACCTACAATAATAACCCAAGATTTCATTGTAATGAAACACCAAATTTGTGAAAAGAATGATACAACTAGTTAGAACCTGTGAGATTTCAGTGGGCATTTTGGATGTTGAAACATTCAGACTATAATGTGAAATGTGATCATAAGCTCGGTTTTAACGTCAAAGTGCACTGGGATTTCTTGAGAACCTTGCTTATTTTACTTGACAAAAGATTTCACTAGAGAATCTTGTGGATGAGCTATCCATTTCTGTAAGAGACAATACTCTGTTGTATACACTCATTTCCTCCAGCCAGTTTTTACGAATGTTGTAACTTTTGATATGTATTTAATGTAAGTAATAATTTGGTGAATATCCCCTCTACCAACGAACCCCATAACCCCCGCTGTCGGTGGCATAGTGCTTAGGACTCTCTCCGACCATGCGCATGGTTCGGAGTTCGATACCCTGCCGACGCACACTTGCTATCAATGGTCGGTCTGCAAAATTTGGCCTACCGATATCACATGCTGAAAAATCCATACTTGTACCGAAAATAGTGTGTAGAATCAAGCTACAATCAAAAAAATTTCTTGTGGATTTCAAGACTGTTAGTTTAGTCCACTTTCATCATCATCAGTGAAATACTTAGACGCTCACTAAAAATGTGATGTACTGCACTGTGTGTCATATCTAATGGCTATAAGACAGATGAAAAATCTAGACTTCAGGTAGTTGATCAATATTTTCTTCGCAACATCACCTACTGTTATGAATTCATTGCCAATAGGTTATGGTGTCGTTACCGATATTATGGTGTAACCGAGTGTAAACATACGCTAATGAGATATACCGGACGATAACGTACAGACTGTTAATGCTGAGTACTTAATATGTCCTGACGCGAAGAGGAAAATCAGAAGACGACCACATTCATGACGATACGTGTATTTTCCAACAAGGAAAATTAACTGTTACACAAGAGTATCAGTGGAAAAGTACTAAACAGTACGAGAGGTGTGAAAATGTGTATTAACTGTACAATACAAGAGTATATATGAAAATGACTAACATACACGAACCCTTAAGATAGACAATAGTTTTTCTTACCACCATTGGATTCTGATTGGTTTAATGTCATGTGACAAAAGGTCATACATTGTTTATTTAGAACAACACATTTAAGCGAACAATATTCTTTTCAATTAGATCTCATCAGGCTTAACTCTAATATACATAATAAATTATTTAAATCAAATTTTTATTAATAAAAATCCGAATAAATCTGCTGAAGAAGCTGTGGCTTACACGGCGAAACGTTCAGAAAAATCTTGTTTTGATTTTCTTAACACCCTGGGATTAATATAAATAATTTATAATGAATCAATCTGACTCGGCGCTCATATTATTCCAGGAAGTTCGTAACACCTACGGTCTGGGAACCTATAATCTAATATACATAAGTTTACAAATAAAAATTCAAATATGAACCAATCATGGCGTTTTGTTCATAAGATAATAAGATGGTGAATATTAATTGTGCAATTAGTCATAGTAGTAGTAATGATAATAATAATAATAGTAATAATAATAATGGTCTTATCAATAATAAGGATTTGAATATATTCAGGATACTCATTATAATAAAGGTTTTTGTATTTCCCAATGAATGAAAAACAAAACGATATTGTTTTTACTGACGTTTCGCTATTTAATGCTAATAGCTTTATCAAAGTATTATTAATATTCAGGATACCTTGACGGATGGGCTATCCGAGTAGTTTCATAAAGAAACATATGAAAACATCAGAGAAAAAACCAGCGACTATGACTGCACGTAAGAAACCTCTATTTATTAAGTTACAATTTAATGGTGACTTATTGTGGTGATTGACAATTTCTATCCCTGTATTGTTTAAATACTTACTGTTGCTTGTTAATACATTTATTATATGAACTGAATAATAATTCCGCCAAATACAAATTCCTGAATTCATCCCTCTCTGTGTTTTGGTTGAATTCTTGTAATTCGGTCATCTCGAAATACTAATACTACTATTACAAAAAATTACAACATTTTGGCGTCGCGAGCAGGATTTGTCGATGCGACAGCAGGGATGATTCGTTTTACAACACCTTGTACAAGGCGTAGTGTAACACCAGATATACCATAGTGTTTAGCTCTCTCACACGACTTTTCATATATCCGTTGTATGTGTTCAGGTGAATCATCGTCAATGGCAACGCCATCTCCAAAAGGAATTTCCTTGGGCCATAACAATATTCTCACATATTCTATACAATGTTCTGGAAGCCGGGGAGTATGCGCAATTGTGCATAAAGGGAATTAACTGGAGGTGGGTAAAGATCTAGACATCCAGTTAAGCCATAGAGAACAAGGGAAACATGTCCTTTGAATCCTTCTGTCCCACCATCAACAAGTGGAATGAGTGTTAGGATCTGGTTGACCATCTATATCATAACGCACTAAACTTGCCAGCAATGAATTAATCCACCGCCGAGCTATTATTGAATCCAAACTACAGAGGACTGCATTAAACTGCTGATAAAAAGATTCATCAAAGTCTTGAATTTTTTCGTAATGTGGGATCACTATGCAAGTAGGAACTCGACGCATAATAAACTCAGCAGCTACATTAGCCTTAGGTTTGCCAACATCATGTGGTCGAAACAAGAATTTTCTGTTCAAATTGGAAATGTCAATCATATCCATGTCTATAACTTCTAGATGGCAAAAAACCATCATCGCAAGGTCTTTCAGAAGCTCGCAACCCAAACCGCAAGCTCCAATTACAGGAATTTTCACGTGTTCTTTGACCATGCTTAAAAGTTCATCTGATGGTTCGAATTCTGACCGCTGAAATGAGATTTTATTCCAAAGACTTACAAGGATTATACGAAGAACATTTCATGCAGCACACCTATGTTTGTCATTCTCTAGCCGACGAGTGCTTGGGACGCAAACAATGGATAAGCTTGACAGTTTTACCAAATCTATGTGCATTGATCAATTCAACTGCACCTGCGGTGACAGTTATTTTATTTTTGATTACAGCTTGATTCCACACTGTTTTTTGGTACAAGTATGGAATTTTCAGCATGGATATATCGGGCATAATACTAGACAGCTTAACCAACGTGTTAGTGAAAACCTCGCCAGATACTAGCTTGCTAGGCTACTAGCTTACTAGTTTTCTCGCCGGTCCCAAGCCCGGGTAAAGAGGGAGGGTTGGGGCGTGGTGCTAGCAACTCCACCCCTGTAAAACAACCAAATCGCTACAGAAACTTCAACGAATAAATATATTAAAAATTCTAAAAACATAAGCAATAGCCTTACTTTTCGCTGGAATCGGGGAAGTGAAATGACGCAGGCTGGTGAAAGCCTTCGGGAAGCCAGTCAGCCGATGTGCCTTCTTTCGATGAAAGCAAAAGTAAGGATGGGTACCTGGAATGTTCGCACAATGTACGAAACTGGAAAGGCTGCCCAGATAGCCGCTGAAATGAGAAGGTACAGAATAGAAGTGTTGGGAATCTGCGAGAGCAGATGGAACGGAACTGGAAGGTGCCAACTACCTACTGGAGAGACAGTAATCTATTCCGGCCACCTAGAGGACAACCATGAGCACACCGAGGGAGTGGCCATCATGATGTCACCAACAGCAACCAAAGCTCTCATGCAGTGGGAACCAATCTCCTCCAGGATAATGACAGCCAGGTTCAACTCAAAAGGAAGGAAAGTTACAGTCATTCAATGCTATGCGCCTACAAACGTCTCAGAACAAGAGAAGAAGGAGGCGTTCTACAGACAACTACAAGCAATAATGGACAACGTCCCAAATGGCGATATCAAAATCCTGATGGGCGACATGAATGCGAAGCTGGGACGAGACAACACAGGAAGAGAACTCACCATGGGTCGTGAGGCCCTCGGTGAAATGAACGACAATGGTGAACTCTTCTCAGACTTCTGCGCCTTCAATGATTTGGTGATTGGCGGTAGTGTGTTCAAACACAAGGATATACACAAGACGACATGGATTTCACCAGATGGAAACACCAAGAATCAAATAGACTTCATCTCAATTTCAAGAAAGTGGAGACGGAGCCTACTGGACACAAGGTCAAGGAGAGGAGCAGATGTGGGTTCAGACCACTATCTAGTAGAAGGGACTTTCAAGGTGAAACTAAAAGCCTCGAGGATAGCTGGGGATAGGCCACAATGCAAGTTCAACACTCAATTACTGAAGGACACAACCAC